GCATATATCACTTAATTTTTAACATAAAAATTTTCATTAATTTGTTCAGCACAATCTTAGTGAATATCTTTTTAAATGCCCAGGGCTGTGCAAGATCTTGGGGCTGCCTTGGGAACGAGATGCTCTCTCTCCCTCAAGGACAACGTGGTAGAAGAACCAACACACCGCAGTGAGTTACGATCACAAAAGTCACAGCATGCCACGGAGCATGAGAGAAGGATGATCGACCCTGCTGAGATGCCACCATCCTGGTGCTGGGGACGACTCTCCAGGGGTGTCTTGGGAAGGGGCATTGACAGCTTTGCTCCAGACTGTCTTTCTGAGCACGTCTGTAAATACAGCAAACAGCCTTGGCAGACAGGGACGTGCTTCCCTGTGGGCTGGCCACAATAACTGGGAGAGCATCTTTCTCTGGAGCAAATGCTGAGCAGGAGCAGCAGCAGCCTCCTTGTGACGTGGGGGCTCCTCAGCTACGACACAAACCCACTGTGGGCACTGCATATACATGGCTGCTCCACATCATCCTGTGGGACTTGGGAAAAGGGAACCATGTGGACATGAACCTGTGCTGCCTGCTGTGCTGGAGCAGTGAAGGCGTCTGTCTCTGACCAGCGTCTTGTGTCTTCTGCAGGCGTCTGAAACTGGGGCAGGCTAACTTGTTAGCTTGCAAGTGGGGGAAACCCAAAACCTTCACAGCTCTTGACAAGTAGATCAAAATCGGTCTAGAAGCCTTTGTTAAGAAAAGCCAAAGAAAAGGAAGTTTTTTAGTCTAGCACCTCGCATGGCCCTGGTCCTAAGCTAACATTTGCCATCACATCCATTTCCGCCATGCACCTTAACAGTATGGCTGAGTGTGGAACCATCAAGAAAACACAGGCACCACGTGTGCTCCTCCCAAATACGGGGCCACGTCCTCTCCAGATCTAGGCATAAATGATACAAAGTCACAAGAAAGTTCCTACCCAATCTGTGCACAGGCAGGAAGACTGGGCAAAGCCGGCAGTGGCTGACTCACTCCCTCCCACCCACAGGTCAGCACGGGCCGCAAGCTGGGAACAGTGCTGCGTCTTAGCTATATTTTTAGGCATCTGTGGCCTCAGAGCGCCTCATATACATATTGGCAGGATTAAGTGAGTCTTAGCAATGAATCAATATTAAGTCACAAAGCTCTACGCATCTCCTGAGCTTTTCTTTCTTACAAAGCGAATCCTTTAAAGGGGTTTAGACTTGAAATCAGTTTCTGTGTAGATTTATGTGTTGGCTGGTTTGTTTGTGATTGTTTTAGATTCAACATGGAATAAAAAGAATTCCTCGTCAGACTTACACAAATTACCTCACTGGAAACGAACACTCGTTTGTCCTGTTTCTGGTGCTCTTTGACACCAATTCCTTAATCCTACAGAATTAAAAGTAGCTACTCCAGACCCTTGATATCTCACCTCACTTCTAATTTCATGAGGCAAATGTGCACTATTGGTGCCCGGAATCACTCTCCCCGTCCAGTTAGAACGCCTTCACTCCGCAGACCGGGCTGGTTCGCCTCATCCACAGTATCCTTATTCTGGTAACTTACTACTATTTATATCCCTGGTATTTGAGCCATGCATTTTTCAAAGAGTAAAAGGGAAAAAGGGAATTTAGAACACAAGTTGTCTCTCTTTACAGAAAGCTGACGGGCGGCCAGGCCTACGCTCCCGTCACCTTCCCGCTGGAGGGCAGGGGCTGTTAGCAGCTCTTCCTGTGGGTCACAGTGCAATGAGCCAGATGGAGATGTCTTTGCTACAGAGCTAATACGAATAATAAGAGCTTTCAATATGAGAAAACTTCCAAGGACTGATGCCTGTCATTGCAAGAAAACCGAGCCACCTCTCCTCCTACCGCTCCAAACAAGGGCGAGGTTTGATGGCCTTTCTCTAAAGCTACCATGTTCTTCCTGCTCAAGCTGATGAGGTGAACTTAGTGATTTTCATGGACTCTGCCCTCAGGTACTGCCATCCAGCATGTCTGACATGGGTCACACACACACATCACCTCTGAGAAACTCTGACCCAAGACAGGAGGAACCTGCGAAGGAGCCCCTAGTGAACATTTAAAATGTCCTCACACATCTCTCATCCCAACGGTGGGGGCAGGCTTGGGTCCAGCCACTGCGCTGAGAGCAACCTAGAACCTTTTTTTTAAGCGCTAGTTGCAAACTTGCAAGAAACTGGGATATTTTATGTCAACTTTGCATTTCTGATGTTTTCTGAAAATAGGAAGCTAGGCAATTCCATGCCTGCATTTCCTCAAAGTGACAACCGAGGGTTGTGAGGAGCAGCTGCCCTTTCTCTGTTCTTACACCCCCACCGCCCGTGTGTCATCCCTCCCTAGCCACACGGCCATCAGCTCCCCGTGGCCAACAGCTTACACTCCTGAACGGCTGGCCAGGGACTAGGGGTCAAACCTGTGCCTTTGGAACAGAGTACAACTGAAAGGACACTGTTTTGAACTAATTAATGCCACACTCCATCTTTGTGAGACAACCAGTAATAAAGAATCTTTTATATAAAAAAAAAGCCTGATGGAGGATCATAACACCCTGTTTCACAACGGCAGAGAACCTAACCTCCCCGCACTAGTCCTGCTTTTCCTCGCACACATCTGTCAAGGTGCGTCACTGGCACAAACTCAGATGCGCCATCGCTGTCAGCCAACCCCTGACCAACTGTAGGGGACTTCTTCCGAGGGCAAGTCCTGAGCCACATTCCATGTTCTAAAAGTTAAGTGCTCCCTGCCGCCCGCTGGAACGGTGCCAGTGTTCTATTTGTTAACAAAATGTTTCTGATGAAACTAGGAAATCAAGAGTGATGAGAAAGAAACACTAATTCAGTACTTCAGGAGCTTCTCCCTGAAACACCAGTCATGGGAGAGGCGAGGGGAGGGGAGCAGGGGAGGGGAGCAGGGGAGAGGGGGTAGCAGGGGCGAGGGGGGTGGAGCAGGGGCGAGGTGCCCACAAGGGAGAGGTGCGTGGTCTGTTGAGAATTTATCAACAGTGATAAAACTGACTACGATTGGGTCTGCTTTCCATTATGACCTTGCGTCAGCAATGTCAGCGGTAAGATTCTGCTCCCTTCCCTGTTCCGGGAGCGTCCCTGCGTCCAGAGCTTGTGGCAGAGGGCCTGGGACGTGCGTCCTGCAGATGGCGGAAGGAACCGGAAGTCCTCTGCCTGGGAGGAGAAGGTAGAGCTGTGGACGCCCTCTAAATGCTGGAGGACTCACTCCTGTGAAGAAGCTGTCCAGTTCACTGCTGCTCGAGGAGGCAAATCAATGCCAGTGAGCAGACACCACTCGCCGGCAGCCTCGGAACCCGGCAGCCTCGGAACCCGTCAGCAATGTGACTGTCCAATGATGGCGTGAGGAGGGGGAGTTCCCACCCTGGGGAGTCTCCCAGCAGAGGCTGAGGGCCAGCTACTGAGGATGCAGCAGTGGCACTCCCACCCATCCACTACATGAGGCAGCCTCGTGGACGGTGCTGCTGGGATGTGCCGACAGGACCTGGGGTCACTGGCCACTAACTAGATGATTCTAAAGGCTTCAGATGGTCTCTGCTCAGCATTTACTTTTCCTAAATCTCTTACTTTTCACTGAAGGGAATGGAGCTCAGTGGCCACAACAATTGTTCTGTCGTAAGGCCCTGGCTGGCAGGACTAGTGCCTCATCTATCTCTGCAGCTGGCTAACGGCCAGTGCGCGGCTGTGCACAGGACGGACACTCCGTCGCCGTCTGTCGTGGACCTGAGCCTCCTCATTTGCCTTTCTCCGGACAGACCATGTGGAAGACGTGGGCATCAGGACCACGTGTGCACCACAGAATCACAGATCCTTAAGGCTGGAAGGAATCCTGGAGCCAGAAATCTCACTTCTCAGCTGCGGAAGTGGAGGCTCTAGAGGGGACAGGAAGGGGCACAGGATGCCAATTTTAGGGTCAGTACAGCGTGGGACCTGCTGGCCGCCAGTGAGCACTTGAAACATGGTGGGCCCAAATCATGATGCAGTGTAAGTGCAAAACACACCCTGGGTTTCTAAGACTAAATATACTAAAAAGAACAGTAAAATTTCTCATCAGTATCTTATATTGATTACAGGTTGAAATGATAATGATTCGGATATATTTGGATAAATAAAATATCTTGGATACTTCTTTTTATTTATTTTAATGTGAAAATTGAAATTTCCTACATGGCTCGAATTCTATTTCTACGGGCAGTGCTGGTCCAGAACAAAGCCCACGTCTGTGACTGCTGGTCTGGGGTCCTCTGCGGGACACTAGACAGTTTTGACACGTAGTCGTACTTAGATTTTAATTTTTTCTTGAAGAGGATAAAATGACACAGAACAGAGAAAAAGAAAGCTGAAGGACAAAAGGTTTTTGCTATTGTTGATAATCCGGGTGTTGTCCCAGAATCTTCTTAGGTTATAGACACGTGAATGTGCCCAGGTTGAGGACACACTGTCCCGGCATTCCTTCTTGACCTGGAGAAATAAAATCAGCAAGCTCACCGTAGCCACCCAGGTCTGTCTGCAGGAAAACAAGAGTCTCATTTCCTGTTTGATTTCTGATAAGTTTCCACAGTTCTTAACTGGACCAAAATCACCTGTGATGTAACTGACAATTTAAAATGCAACAAGTCGGATAAATACTCATTCGATGGAAATGAAGTTGCTTTTGCAAAGCATAACAATGCCCGTGAAATTATTTTAGTAACTGTTGTATTATCTCAAGCCATGGAAACTGCTACTGTTAAAGATTAAGGCTTTCTTTTAAAAGATTGATGTGAAGGACTCTCCCAGCCCAAGACCACAATGTTCTCTGAGTTTCATCAGCAGTTCATGGAAAAACAGTGGAAATGGACCTTTTACTTTTTTCTGAAGATGCAGGCAACCTGAAACACGAGTTTCAGAGGGAGCTGTGAGCTCTCTGCATCCCCGGGCACAGTCTTACTCACCAGCTCTCCACCTTACCTTTGTATTTCTCTGATTCAGCCCTTAGAAGCTCTGCACATTTTGTTTCTTCCTCCTGTATTTCCAGATGAAATCGGCATTCTGGGTGAACACTGTTCACCTGGTCAAGGTTTAAAAGAATAGAAATAACTAAAAATTCCACCATAAGAGAAAGTCAAGCAAAAGTTTTACAAAAATCTCCCAAAACCTCACAGTTCTAAATTGCTTTCAAACTAACACTCATTTAAAAGCAATCACCTTCATATTTCTGGCAGTTATTAAAAAAAAACCCTCCACTATTTACTTTGTAAAGGAATTATAAAACAAATATGAAACCAAATAGAATATTTTTTTCTGAACAGGAAAACAAACTTACTAACGTAATACACTGTATGTTGTTAGCACTAATCTGGCGACGATAGAGCTCTTTAATCCAATAATCTTTCAATATTCGAGTCCTCCATTTCATAGGCTTTGATTTAATTAGAGTAAATACATGTTTACTCCTAAGACCATTCTTAATGACTGCACGCCATCCCCAGACGCCAGCACGCCTCCTGTAAGGAGCCTCTGCACTCAGTGCAAAGACCCCAACAGGAGAGCCTTAATTTTAGAGGCTTCAGGTCACATTCAAAACCCAGCTTTAGAATCTGGCGTGAAGGAGCTTTTCACAAAGATTCGAGGGGTTAATACAGAGAAGAATGGGGGAAGAGCCCATCACTGTGGCTTCCACTAAACGAGGGATGGGCAAGTTCATGTTGGATCTACCACAGGAACTAAAGAGGTGACACAAATAGTGGTTAATACTGTCTATTTATGTGGGCAAAGACAAAACTACGTGTTTCAGTCTTACAAGATAATATTCTCTGATCTCTATTTTTACAAAGGTCCAACATTCTCTTTTTTTTGCTCCCCCCAACAAATACTCACATGGTAGGCTGGAGCTGCGCTCCCTCCTGTGTCTGAACAAAATTTTACTTTTTACTAAAAAGAATCATACTCTTGGGTATATTATGGTCATCTATGTTTAATTATCCTACTATTGAAATAGGTCAATTAGAATTCTAAGCAGGAATAAAATTTCCTAACAGAACTAAGAGAAGAAACTTAATGCTGGATACTTTCGCCACATTTACCGTCATTTTAAAAAAAAACCGAAGCTTGTTTTTTTTCCCCCTAGCTTATAACTGGACAGCCTCCAACTGTAGAAACTCCTGATTTCAAGCAAGCTGTATTTTTCAAATACAAACAAGTCAATGGTTTAAATTTCAGAATTAGGGAAATTATGTTGATTTAAGAAGAAAAATAAATTTTTGTTAAGGTATTAAAGGACACTGTAATACCTGACATTCTTGGAATGTGCAGAGCGATGACTTATTTGGGGATATCTTAGAAATTAAAGCAACATTAACCACAATAATTCCTGGTACTTTTAACAAACTAGCGCTTTCAAAGCATTAAAATTAGTAGCAAGGTTCTTATTGTCACAGCAGCCTTCTGAAGGAGGAGAACCTGCTAGGCACATACGACTAGGAGGGCGCAGGTGCATGCCCTCCCAAATGCTGAAATATCCTCAGCAATTACTACTTTCCCCAAATAGCTCCATCCTTGGCTTCACAACCTTCAGGGGGAGATGAATCAACAGAGACGGCGATCCTGGCTGGATATGCACACACAAAACACGACGTGTACACACAGAGCAGTCTCCAGTTCGTGAGGGAGGAAGCAAGAAATAAGGTTCGAACTTGTTTCTAAGAGGTCTTTAAATAAAAGGAAGAATTCTTGAGAATTAAATAATCTAGTAATGCTCTCATTTAACCAACTTTCATTCAGTATATAATTTCCTTCAGTGATCTTAAATAATCACAGAAAAATCAAAGCTGAATACTTCCAAAAGGAAACTTTCTCCACATCGCACGCATCTGCCTCTGACACGCACTAAAACATATGAAACCAGTGACAGGCACCAGGAGCGGAAGGAGAAGTCGCTAATGACGAAGCAAACCCATTTCCCCGAAGTGCGGAGCCTGCGCAGGTGGCCGGCCCGTCCCCGGCTCCCGCGCCCCTGGACCCACGGGCCTCGCCGGCCACGCGCCCCGGGAGGAGGCGGCGGATCCAGCTCCTCTCCGAAGAGCGTCGGGGAAGAAACGGATCCCGTCGCGGCAAATCCAGGACGGTCGGTGCCGGGGGAGAGGGCACATGCGTCTTCCCACCCGCGTGTCAACTCTGGTCGGTTCTTCGGCTCCGCTAGGGAGGGTCCGGCACGCCCCCGGGGACCTGTTCCCTCTCCCCGAAGACCCCGGGCCAGCCCTGGGCCCCCAGCCCCGCGCCCTGGCCAGTCCTGCGCCTCCGACCCCGCGCCCCGCCCGCCCCGCGCCCGGACTCGGGAGGGAAGCGCAGCCCGGGGCACGGAGCGCTCCTGTCTGGGGGGAGACGCGGGTCCGGGGTGAGGGAGTGGGGGTCCGGGGCGCACTCACCGGGGCGAGCAGCCAGCAGCAGGTCAGCAGCGCGGGCGGCAGCAGCCCGGGCGCCCTCATCCCGGCTCCGCGC